CTAGTTTTATCTAATCTCTCAATTAACTCCCAAAAAAATAATAAATTTAAAGTACATGTGATTAAGACGATTTTGAGATATCGCTGTAGGGAATATTCTCAATATGCATAAATGGCAAACAAGGATGTATCTAAGAATTGGTCAATAACTTCATTATTTGAGAGGAGGTAAAAATTTAGGCTGTCTTGAGTTCAAATTTTAATAATTTTTTAAGGTCAAATGATGAGGGATAAATAACCTAATCGCGTCGTGGATGACTGTTTTTGATCAGATCGAAAAAAGATTATTCAAGATATGCGTAAGTTAGTTTGAACACTCTTTATCATTGAACCAAAAAAAAAAGGTAAAAACACTATTTAACAAAAATCAATGTCATGTTTGTATGGAAAGTGAATGTAAATCCATTGCTTCTTTTTAAAGCTTTATCAAATTATGCTCGGTTAGATTTGAAGAATAAGATTCACATCCTGCTGATGGGATGGTCACAAAACACCAGAATGAGGAAGGACCAACTGTAAATATGGGACCATCACCACCACCGTCACAATCACCATTCTTAGAACAATTAACTTAGGTGGTCGCACCGAATTTTCTAAAAAAAAAAGTGGGTGGGTCAAGCCTTAATTTTAGCAAAGTTTGATTTCTTATGTTCCATTTTTTGACAACTTTATTCAGCCCCACATTCGGGTGGGTCTCATTTATTCTTTGAATGCTTGTTCCTTCACTCGTGGTGCAGCAGATATATTATTTTTATTGTTTATTATCGACATCCTATACGATTCATGACATTTTCAAGGAAAATTTTGAAACTAACTAGAAAAGGTTTATATCACAAGTTATTTCTGGTGGTCTCCTACCATCTTTTTTTTTTTTTATGGTTTGTTGTGCATCTCTTGATGGTCCCGGTAATAAAGAATAAAAGTATACAAAACTAACGAATTCATCTTTCTGCACAAAAATGATAGCGCGAAAGTAACAAGACAATGCATTCGTATCCATGGCCTCGTTAAAGTTTGGTGGTGTTTGTGTGGAGGGAAACATGCACACGTAAGCCTACATTCGGTTTTATGCCTTTGTTCTGTTTTATCTGTTGTAACCAAGGTTTTTTTTTCAAGCATCTGTAGTTTTAACCATGGTTGGTTCCCGTTTGTTCAAATAATAATAAGGATGAGTTATAAATATAGACGTTTTGATTTCAAATCTTGACAATTATTTAGAGTCAGACTATAATGAATTTCTCTCTTATAAATACCTTAATTTTAACGTAGATGATCTACTTTTGATCGAATCAGAAAACAGAATTAATCGAAATACACGTAAATTAATTTAAATATTCTTAACCGTCAATCGACTGTTATTAGAGAATATTAGACAATGGGCAAAGACAATTATAAAGCAAGCGCGGGGCTTAACAAAAGACATTGAATTTTGTAATCTTGTGAATGAATGGTCGGTCAGAGATTCTAGTGTCCCTATGACCTTTTGATGTTTTGTTGCAGGATAACACTAGAGAGGGCAAGGGACTAACGTCCTTTATCTATCTATCTATCAATCCAGTGATTGGTCCAAAAAACAAACTTAACCTCTAATATGATATTTCTTGCAAAGTATTAATGAATGATTCTGCTTCTATATAATACAATAGATTATTTTTGAATTCAGTGTATTAAACTCACCAAAAAAAATAAAGAAAACATGTATTATAATTAATACATCTAAAAGTGTTTATTTGTGTGCAAGTGTGTGGAATAGAACGTAACCACACAAAGTCAACGTACTTGTAATTTCTATTTTTGGATATCAGAGAAGATTTGGTGGCTGGTTTTTTTTACTTGGACTTGACAAGGTATAGACAAAAAAAAAAATTTGGTACCTACAAAAAAAATTCATTATGGTACCAAAAAAGTTTATTATTTTAATAGGTATTTTTATAATTTTTATGAGTTATTTTATAATTAAAAAATTTATCACTTTATGCGTGATTTATAACTTATAACTTTTGTTGGTATTTTTTTTATCATTTGAGTATTTTTAACACTGCTGTGGTAACTATGTTTATTACTTTTCGTTGGTATAAAAATAATTATCACTTTTATAGGTAATTTTATTATTGTTATGAATATTTTTATTAGTGTTGTAATAATTATTTTTATCAGTGTTGTGGTTATTTTTATCAGTGGTGTGGTAACTATTTTTACCATTTTTTTTCAGTACTACATAAGTTGTAAAAATATTCACAATAATAGTAAATATAATTATAAATGTGATAAATATAAGTATGATATGGAATTTTTTTTTTTTTTTTTTTGGGTACAATAGACAATTCCTTTTTACTTGCATCTTTTGCTTCTCTAAAGTGATTTAATGACAAAGAAATTGGTGTTGGGTTATTACTTTTCTAAGGCATTTACCATTCAAGAAGACGCGTCTAATTATCTAGACACATAAAACAATAATTCATTTTTCTACTTATTAGTCGAGGTATACATAAATTAATTCGAACATTTTTAACTGTTGAATCAAAAAACAATTATTTTCCTACTAAAAACCTTATCTTTGCAACCCTACATCAAAGGTATGTTTCGGAGAGAACAGCTTCAGCATTTGGAAATATTACACAATACCTCCTTAGATGTCTAATTTTCTTCTCCTTCACTGCAATTTGATGCAATCAAGACTCTCAGAAACTGTTCTTATCCGAGGTCGAAACTCTGTATCTAGTAGTTACTGGGCAATTGAGCACAATACTAAATATGCTGTAACACCCTGTTTCTTTGCATGAGCCTCATGCAAAGTTGTAGGGTCTATAATCTCACACAAGGGTCTTTCATCTCGAAACACCTTCCTTACAGGACTCTATACTCATAGTTATCAGAATCGGATCGAACATCGAACAGAGAGACCGGGTCAATAATTTAGTAGTTCAACCACTAGGCCTAACCGGTCAAACCGGCCGGTCCGGTTGGGTGACTGACCCGTCAAAATCTCCAAAAGCACAACTTTGGAAAGAATAGATATCAAATTTTTGGGTGAACTTGCTACTTGGTGCTCCAACAGCATGGTTTGCGTTACGAAAACCACCTCTCTGCGCGTGTGCGTGGGATAAGATTGCGTACATTTTATCATTCTAGTGTTGTCATTCTGCTCTAAATGCCACACCTATGCTATTCCACACATGACCATAGCATGCTCACTATCTGCACACAAGCTAATAACACACACCAGCAACAACAAAAATACATCATTTTACAAAGAAAAGCCTAACCTCATCAATCAAATCGCCAATACCATTTACCAAAATATCATCTGTTGCACCAAAATCTGTTATTATGATAGAGAAAACTTGATCGCCAGACAATTTTCAGGCAAAGAAAGTGCAGATTACAATTTTGCCAGAAAGATTACTCTTATTTTTTGGAAAAATTTGTTTATTGACTCGAAGCCTTTTCTGTAAAGGGGACATCATATGATCATAATAACGTGACAATACAATGAAGGAAAAAATACAGATCCTTTTGTTCTCTAAATAATAGTATTGATGCTGGTTCACATTTTGAAACTCAAAAATAGATTCTACCATTTGGGTTTTGCACCCTTTTTCCCAGGAATCTGCAATGCATCATAATGGCCAAAACCATGATACAAGACTTTGATAGGATTGTCTTTGCCATATTCTTGTCCATACTCGGCAATGGATATCAGGCCGCCAGAATCCTCATCGTGCATGTAGACTGTGATTGGCATCCTACAGTCACGAGAATTTATAAGTCATGCAGTCTAATGTCCTTAATGTTTAGAACTATAGAATCTCAATATCGATACCAAATATGAAGTCTGCAATATTACATATGGTTCATCAGAGATTTCCTACATATTTAATAGCAAGACATGTCAAACAATCAAAATTGTAAATTCCGGCGGCATATACCAATCTCCCCCTCGCCCCCTCCCACTCGATGTAAAGTACCTCTCTCGGTCACACTAATCACACATAATAAGTTGGAGGCACCCCCAACACAATACAAAAAGGACCCCTTCTATTATTCAACTGAATAAGAGAACAAGAAAGGGAAAAAATTGGCCCCTAGTACACATTGCAATTGATGACTAGATCCAGTCAAAAATGGATTACTCATTAAGAAGATAGATCAGCCTAGTTTCCTATAAACACACAACCACTGGAATGTCCCAGCATGCCAGCACACAAAAACAGAGAGAGAGAGAGAGAGACTTACTGGAGAACATGAGAAGCCATTAACAATTCAGGCTCACCTCCCCATACATGAGGCTTCTTTATTTGTGAAACATAGGTGTCAAAGTCACCTTCTATGAACCTGAACGTATTTTGAAACCATCAACTACACATCCATCTCCAAAATTAATAACATTTGTGAAAAGAAGACCATCTCTCTCATTTAAGAAGACAAACCTTTTATTTTTTGTTTTGATTTGTAGTAGCATGAATCTAACATAGCTTGAGCAAAATTTAAAACTCAAATATCTAGAATGCATACGTTATCAATGTCCTTCACCAATGCACAAATACAATTGCTTCATGATGACATCATCCACAAGGCTTAGATAATCTTTTCTAGCATCTGTTAGCCAAAATAACTACAGAGGAACTTAAAACTAGCACTCACGATTTGCAAAGTCAGTTGGATTAACTGAAAAAAACTCAGAACACTCACCATTCTGTCTCTTTCCGCCTTTTGAAAAATTCATCTGCTACCTAACAGAATTAGCAGATGCCAAATCAGGGGACATTTTCTATAAGGTTTTGATATAAACAAGCTTATCTTGAGCATACACGAAGCAAAAAAGCAAATACTACTTCATCGCATTCCGACATCCATCACTTTTTACATGTGCATGCTTTGAGGCAAGGGGGTAGGGCTCTTGATTTAGAAAGGAAAAAAGAAAGTAAACAAAAAGGCAACCCCATAAAAGGAAAATCTAGTAAAAATAATGGACAAAATTGTGAATTTCTCAATATCCATAGTGAAGGAGAATAACCATACTCTTGCTCGTAATTCGTCAGCTAGTTCCCTTTGAAGGCTCTCATTCGGAGCAGGCTTTCCCGACCGTACACAAGCTCCATGAGCAACAGAGCGAAATAAACATCTCCCATCTCCAGGTATGCCTACAAATGTGGAGCAGTTATCTACGTCAAAACAAGTCTGGTGGAAACAAAACAAAAATTTGCAACCATGTGTTTTGAAATAGCATCAAGAAGACAAATACAGATAGAAATATACTTAGATGGTGAACAAATATTCTGGAAAAAAGTTAAAAAAGAAATGGCAAAATAAAAAGACTAGAAATAATTTTCTACTGACCAATAACAGAATAGTTGGTATAGACTTTCTTCCCATGTGAAAAGTTGGCAGCTGAGGAATCAGGATCATCTTTCGCCCCAGGTGCCTCAGCATGAACTGGTTCAGAATTTGAATTACAAACAAACAAACCAAAAACTAAACCAGCAGATGAAAATCCTTTCAGCCACAAAACAGGACCCATATTATGATCGAGTTTGAGAGTTATTGTGTGTCTAGGCACCCAAAGCCTCACATTCATATTTTGGCACCCCACTGAAATAGAAAGGCATGTCTTCTGGGAAGGAACAGAATTAACTATACTTTTGACAGTTAATGAATGCCAGTTGCTACTCTGCTTCAAGATGATAGACCCAAGAGAGCTTCCCTGGAATGCTTGAAACCGGACAAGAGATGAACGGGGGTTTGTTTTTGACACAGATATGCTAGCATATTTTGATTCAGAATGCCCGGAGGATATGTGGAAACAAAATGAAGATGGTGTCTGAGAAATGAAACAAATCTGGTTGCTCATCTGTCTTTGGACGACTCGCCTTAGGCAGACCACATTTTGCACACATAGGCTCATGTAAGAACAAACCATTGTCTCGGCATAGCCACAGGAACAAGCAGCACTCTACTTCAAGAATAATCTACCAAGCACTGCCAGCATAATAAGCCACAGAATCATTTTGTTTGACTAGCTCATTTTTTCAGACAAATGTCGATATTCAAATCTCATGAATTAAAAACATATCTATCCAAAGACAAAATGTCGAAAGTAGCATCCAAAAACTCACTCTCTTTAGAAACCTTTATTTTTTGCAACAAAACTGAGTGAACACCCACTACTTATTTAAACTTGCACTAATAATTGTTTCTCCTTGTGAGATAAGGGAGCAATTACTTCTTGTAAATGATGAAATTGTTAGTCTCAGCTATTCTATAATCCTGCATAAGGGCTCCTTCACGAAAAGTATCCATTCTACTTTGCAATCAGAAATATTACAATAACCAATGAAACCAAAACCCAAGCGAACATATGAAATGATTGCTCTTTGGTGGAAAAAAAAATCTTAATTTGAAGTTCTGATCGGAGCACTATGACGAAACACTGGTGGGGTATTGCTCAAGGTAGATGTGCTAAACATATACTGAATAACTTCTTTCGGGGGCAATAACATAAATGAATTTGAAATGGTGGGAACAAAAGGACTAGCAAAATGAGCTACATGGATTAATCTTTGTGATAGAAAGAAACTGAAGGCTATTGTTCCCACCCAATGAATTGCTAAAAGAAAGTCATGAACCAAAACCTAAAATGTCTAAGTCTAACCCATGCCATTGCAAAATTTGACTTAGTTCAAAGACGTTCAGCTACTCTGGAGGTCCAAACTAGCTAGGCAGCAAGTTCACCCATTATGGTGTGTTTAGTGTTTGAACCTGTTAAAGACTTTAACTCAGACCCACCAAACCACCTACTAGCATCATTGTCGTAATTTGGAATGATGATCTTTTCTTCAACCATGACTTAATACCCATCAATATCAATGATGCTAGTAATCAAGTATCAGGTTGCAGTACAGGCAGAGGATGAATAATCACATAGTATCCATAGCTATTACTTTGTCCTAGCTATGACACATTGAAGTCATCAAGGCGTGAAATTTCAAGAACACCCCAGAAATGTCTACACAACTACACAATAATATTCAGAAGAATGCCAAATCAATACAAATCCTCATATACCCACATAAATATTCATGGAAATTGAGGATAAAGGAAAAGGAAATAAACCTGTTTAACCCGTTAACAGATTGAATACAAAACTCAGAAAAGAAAAACCCAAGTCGAGAAAATCCAGGAAATCAAAGCAGAGGATAGAAATGCGAAAAGAAAACGCAAGTAGAGAAATTCCTTGGAATCAAGGCAGAGGAGAGCAAGGCATGGAAGTAAAGAATTACCTGTGAATATTTGTGATGCTAGAAAGAAAGGAAAAAAAAAAAAAAAGGATCGTAGTGGCCTTCTTTAAACTGGCTCTTTTGGATCGACGAACTCAGATAATACTTTCGTGAAGCTTCTTCCTCTTTGTCTGTGTGTGTCGATGAAGTTGGTGGTTTGGTTCAAGCACAAGGTGAGTTAAACGCCATTGTTTTTTAGACGGTGCCGTTTCAGGCCCAAGGCCGCTTTATTTGTTATTTAGGGTGAAAACGTGTAAATAACTGAGAACAATGTATTTGGGGAAAGTCCGTATTTTAGAGTCAACGTTAGCACTTGGTAGTTGTATAAGTTTAACTAGATTTGTGTTCGAGAGAAATAACAGGTGCAGAGCATCGTGATTCCACCAATAAAATTCTACGAGAGTGGTTTATGAGTGCTCACGTAACAGTTATAAACCTTGTATCACCTCACCCGATCACCACCAAAGCACTCTATCTAATATTAATAACTAAAAATTATGTGTGTCCAAAGGTATCTTGTATAAGTCCAGTTCAATCATTATGTCAATAAATCTTAGGTTTTAGGCCCTATTTTTAAAAAAAGTTTCATAAATTTTAAGTGTTCAATAATAGCCCAAAAAAAAATCTAAATCTATAAAAAAATAAGTCTCACAAAAAACTTAAATTTAAGCCCAAATAAAATATTTCAAGTTGAATTGATTAGACCTATTAATTCAGTCCATAAAATTAAAATACTCTAAAATTCAATTTTTTGAAAACAAAAAAAAACTAATAATAAAACTAAAACTACTAAAAATCAAGTTTTAATCTCCAAAAAAAATCAAAATCAAATTTATTATCATAAATTTTCAATTATTCTTTCTCCCATTCTCTCCACCAGTCAAGTTTTACTACGATAACAAAAGATTAATTAATATTTTTTATATTTTAAAAAAATAAAAAATAAAATATTTAAAAATAATTATTAATATTAAAAAAATCATATTTATTGTTTACACTTTAGGTCTCAAAATGTGTGAGGTTCACTACCAAAACACTCTATCTAATATTAATAACTAAATATTATGTGTGTCTAAAGATACTTAATTATTATTTTATAATTAATTAGTAACACCTAGGGGTATCAAACGTGTCGAGTTAAATGGTTATGTGTTGGGCTAAACAGGTGACAGGTGAAAAAATATATAAACCCGTTTAATAAACGGATAAAAAATCTCAACACGAACACAACCTCTTTAATAAACCAGTAATACAACACGACTCGTTTAATCCGTTTAATTTTAAAAAAATTATACTAACAAATTCTAATACTCCACTTTTTTTTTATTGTCAATTGTACTTACCTCAAAAAAGAGAAATTTTTAGTCAAATCTCATAAAAATAAGACTTAAAGGCTTNTTCTAATACTCCACTTTTTTTTTATTGTCAATTGTACTTACCTCAAAAAAGAGAAATTTTTAGTCAAATCTCATAAAAATAAGACTTAAAGGCTTAAAAAAAAATAAGAGATCATTGCTTTTTATAAGTAATTCAACCCTTCCCATCTCCCCTCATTTTTCAATGTGGAACAAAAATAAAAGACATTGATTTGTCTTTATTTTTGAAATACTCTTTATTTCTTCTCTTTTGTCTTTAAACTATTAATTTACTTCTTTTTTTATTGTTTTATTTACTTCTTTTTTTCTTGCTAATTTTTTAAAATAATTATTAATTTATTATTATATTAATTTTATTTAAACAGGTAAAACGTGTGATAAACGATTTGACAGGTCTCACCCGAACACGAATCATTTATTAAACATTATTAGCGTGTCAACCCGTTTATCATCCAAACCCGTTAACATCTCATCCAAACTCGTTTAATTCATATTAATTCATATCGATTAATCGTTTCGTGTCAAATTTTGACGACCCTAATAACACCGTTACAACGCAGTTATGCCAATATTTACTCGCAAGGCAGAGCAGCAAAACCCATTTGAATGCAAATGCAAAGCAATTAAAAGTTGTCAAACCATTCACCTCACCTCCCCCCAAAATAAGTGAAAAGCCCTCATGAGAGTGTCGCTATCAGTTTCTGTGTTTCTGCGAAGCAATTATTCAATTCACACCTGCTGAGTTCAACAATGGTGTGGTTAGTCATTCTTTGGATACTCTTCTTCATCATCAACATGGTTCTCATCGGGTTGAATCTCTACCAGGTACATTTTGTGTATATACGCATGTATGTATTCTCTGAACTGGTTTTACACACAAGCTCATGTGCGGAAACCCTAATTATGAACCTCTGTACCTTTGCTGATAAAGTGAAGGTGGAGAAATTAATCCGGTGTGTGTCTAATGTTATTCGACGTGTTTGTTTTCCACATTTTAGTCATATGGTGTGGCAAATTTGATTTTATCTATCACCATGAGCTTCATTTGTTTTTCTATTTTCAATTTTATAGCTAAATCGTGAAGGTCTACTAGATACATACCCTTTCTTATACAATTAAAGAAGGGGAGTGTGCAATTTTATACCTAACAAGTTATAGGAGGTATCATAGAATGATGTAATTTGACGGGAATTTGTTTTCCTTCTTGCTGATTCTGCATCAATGTTTTTTCCTCTTTCTTGTCCTGTTTGGGATCGTAAGTATGCACTGACCTAATACATTTCAACGTAAATTTGAGTCCTATAAGTGTAAGCCTCTTGATTGAATCAACCATATTTTTGGGTCAACCAGATGCTTGTTTCAGTTCATTCGGATTCTTCATCCACTGACTCCATTCATCGGCTAAAGCAGAAATTCTCTTATAACAAATGCAATTCAGGCTTGGGTCGAATGTGTTTATTGGAGTATATTAACTACAGCAGCTGTTTAAATTTATTCTCATTTTGACCCATGTTTGATAGAGCTGTGATTGTGATTGAAAAAACATTACTCAACTCGATGTTTCCTGTCCTTTTAACTACTAATAAGAAGCTTACTGTGGTGCCCTCCTAGAGGAGCACTAAAATGTTTCTTTAAAAAATTTTGCTCTTGTATAATTTGCTTTTGTTTACAGTTTATGCATCTTGTCAACAAATATCTGAGTCCTGACAAACATGAATGATTACTTCATGTTTTAATGAAACTGAAGGGCACGTCAACTTCATTCTGTTTCCCTTTCATTTGGACATCATCCCTGAATGCTGACTGCCCACAGATAAATAATGTATCAAACTTTTTTGCTTTTGCCATTATGTTGAGAATTTCCTTTATTTTAGTTTGTCTTTATAGATCTCATGCTTAAATGGGCTCAAGGATCCTCTTATTGGAATACAATATCTATCATCATTGAATTTGCAAGTCACTTGCACAATTTGCTTTTCAAGTTGATTTTCTCTCAAAATGATCAATGTTTGTTGTAGATTGTTTGCTTATCGGACTTGGAGGCTGACTATATGAATCCGTTCGAATCATCATCTCGCATTAATGCTGTGATTGTCCCTGAGTTTATATTGCAAGGTGTATTCTGCGTTTTATTCCTTGTGACAGGGCATTGGCTCATGTTCCTGGTTACCCTTCCTATTACTTGCTACAATATGATGTTGTAAGTTTCTTTGTCATCGATGTATGAAATTTTCAGTTTTGTTGTATCTTGCATAAGAGAAATTAATGTGCAAAGCTTGATCTCATTTGTTGGTGATTGGATTCTTATCCAAGTTCTGATTCCTGGCCGTGTAAGCTTTGGGTATAACGAAATTACTTGAATTGACTGATTGCCCATTGTATTCTATTTACTCATTTATGCTCAGCTTGATGTCAATTTTGGAGCTCTTGGGAACGTGGGCATACGGAATTATGCTATAATAAAAAACTGATATAGTCCTTGCACCAGAAGGGGAGAAAGATGACTACAAGACGTCCTAGATCATGGAAATCCTCATATACTACTCTAAAGTACATTAAAGGGTGTAGAATGCTGAGCCTTTTTAGGATATTCCAACAAAAGAACTGTTGAAAAAATACTTGGAAGTTTGGATAAGTGAAGTCTTCTACAATATGATGATTCTTTTAATGTTAACAGGAATGTTTGGTTGATGTTGCCCAGAATGTTGATGATCCACTGTGGGCTGACCAAGGAAATATAAGAAATTCACTGATGATCTTCCAGTTCAAGCTTTTAGTCCTGTATTAAGAATTTCCATAATTTGTAGACAAAGTGAAAAAAATGGCCTATGTATCGTAAAAACTCTACCCAACCCAAACTCCCTACCCAGCAGCAAGGTGGGGAGATAAGCAATATTTGCTGAATTTTCAGCCCTTGAATATCTTTTGAAAGCTTTTTCTGTATTGATGAACTTCTATGGTTTTTAATTTTGGCATGTCATATTTTATTTTTTCCGCTCTCATAACTGTTCTTTTATCCGACTCAGATTCATGAAGAGACAGCATCTTATTGATGTAACTGAAGTCTTCAGATTTCTTAGTGCTGAGAAGAAGTATCGGATTGTCAAGCTTGCGTTTTACTTACTTCTCTTCATCATTGTCATTGTCAGGTTTGATTCAGATTCTTCCTTTCTCATTGCCTTTCAAATACTAGAGTATTTGCAGATATTGTTTTATGTTGCTGATAGAAGGTTTTATTTGCTGTTTGGCAATAGAACATTGATGGCTGGAACATTTTCCACTATGCTATCAGTCATCCATTCCAACAATGAAGAATTAGACCTCCGGTCTTCCTTCCTTGAATTCTGAAGTTTCCCTTATAATGTGTTAACCAATTGCTGCTTCTAGAGTTGATTAGAGAGTGATGATGATTACAAATTTGATTCATATTCTTCTGATGTTGAAGAGTTTGAGAACTCTAGTATGTACAAATGGATAAATTACTCAATTGGTGGTGTGTTTCTTGTACTGTAGCTAATCTTAGCATTGTTTCCCCCAAACTCAGCTTTGGGAAATAATCGGAAAAAAAAAGGATGAATGTGAAAAGAAAGTCAGAAAAGGAAAGATCATATCTTTTTAGGATTCCACTTTTTTCCCTGAATCCCTGTGTAGGTTGAGTCAATTTGTTATCGAAGACACCTAAATACTATGGTAAAGAAAAAATATGAAAAAGTACTAAATTTGTGAAGTATTAAACTCCATCACAACATGACCACATTTTGGTTGTTTCCATAATCCATCTCTCTTCAAAAATTATGCAAGTTGGAATTGCCATCAGACCCACAGATGAATTATTTCTTGTGAATTTTAGGACAAAATACTTTTTGTTATGATCTTTGATTGGTGTTGCAGCATATGCGCGTGCGAGGCGTGCGTTTATTGTAAAGTGAGCTTTTAAACACATAATGTACCTTGATAATTCATGTTGGTGTTTAGAAACTTTGGTAAAGGGACAGGGCAGAGATATTCCATGATTTTTCTCTATTGCTCATGTGGAGCATTTCAGTTTATTTGTTCTTTTCCCTCAACTAATATGGTGATGATATTTGATGGCGGTTAATTTGTGGTCCTCCGTACAGAAATGTCTCACTGACTTCCTCCCTTGACGCTGATAAATATCCTAATTTGCAGGTTTGTACTAACTGTTGTCTACTCTATAATGGATGAAGATGACGAAGCACATGAATTTGGGATATTTTGATTTCCCATTGCATTGATGATCTATAATTCCACCCTTTGTATCTAATGACCCCTGAATATGTGGGAAAATAGAAATGTACTTTACTAACGTCAATGTGTGAAACTTAGCAACCAACACTTCTAGTTAGCCTGTTTTCGCATCAGCAAACCACAGGTTCTTCCAATGTCTGAAATATTCCCATTTGATTTGTAAATGTTGAGTTATTTGAAGGATGTGTTAGGGTTGGTGAACCAGTTATACCCTTTTCAGAAAGTGATTTAAGTGGTAGGCTATCTCTACTGGCTATCTTTGATGGCACCACTGGAGATGGCTGTTCAGCATAGTAATAAATTCCCTTCAAGATATCCTTGTGCTGGAATGTGTTATTATTTTGTGATGCTTCGTTTTATAGTCGCCTGTTTCTTTGTTTTAACACCCTTATGTCTCCACAGCCTACTTCATCTGGGAGCGCTGAATTTGATATCAGTCTACTGACTAGGCGGGTCTGAAGCAGATTGGCTTTTGGACTTTGAGAAAATAGAATGAAAAAGAATCAGCCACATTTTTAACTATACTTTTGAGTATCTGCGGATTAATTTCTTCACCAGTTGGTTCAGTACCTCAAGGTCACTAGCTCTGGTATTGACTATTGAATTGTCTATGTATAAGGTGATAGTGCTTTATATCTCTTTTTGCCGCCCTCCCGGCTAGGCAAAATCGATTCTACCTTCCAAGCAGGCGGCGAAGAGTGTCTTGTGTCAACCCTTCAAATGTATGATGGCTGTGCACAGCCCAAACCACTTGGTCATTATGTTGATATGGTTTCGGTAAGTAGAAGCTTCCTGGCAAAGCTTCAATCAAAGAAGTATTGTCAAACATTTCGGATGAACCCACTTCTATACCTTGGTCTTTTCAAGAGAAGATATGGACCTGTTCATGATCGATACAATTTTCCCCAAAGCAAGTTCACCATCAACTATAGTGGTAAATTTGTTCCTTTTGGTAGAACCACCTTGGGGAATAGATGGTTTTATGACGCTAATCTTGAGCTGCCATCCAAGCACGGATAGCATCGTTTAAGAGGGAGATGAGATAAAGTCCCACGAGCTTGTCTGCTAATCTAATTCGGGAACTAGGTGTGTTATGGGGAGGTGGTCGTGGTGGTGTGGGGGTGGTGAGGACTAGGTGTGGATACAACGTTGTCAGTGGTAGGTAAGTAACCGTGATATGTTGGTGGCGATGTGGTGAGTTATTGGTGGTAGTAGCAGGCGGTCGGGTGGAGGAGATGGTGGTGATGGTGGAGGTAATGCTGATCTAGATATTAAAAAATAATTATAACTATTTTAATATTTCTAGGATATTTCGATTAAATTTCATTTCATATCAACAAAAAACTGATTTACCAAATATTGTCTCTATTCATTTTATTTATGTACAAGGTGGAATCATCCCATGTTCTATTTTAGTGTCTTTTATCGGATATTAACGAAGGGATGGTGCATTTGGTAAATTAACTGGATTTTTTTTTTTTTTGGGTCTAAATTAACAAGTTAGATGACTCAACNTTGTGATGCTTCGTTTTATAGTCGCCTGTTTCTTTGTTTTAACACCCTTATGTCTCTACAGCCTACTTCATCTGGGAGCGCTGAATTTGATATCAGTCTACTGACTAGGCGGGTCTGAAGCAGATTGGCTTTTGGACTTTGANACAGCTAGGATACATTAAGAGAGTATCACATGGTAGAATCTGAAGGAACTTAATGCAATAAATAATTAATCACAGTAATATTTGAAAAGAGTAAACAATTGGAAGTTACTAGTCGATAACTGTTGATGAGAGTAAAATCGTCGAAAACAATGACTATAAAGGGATATATAGCGGAGAAAATGAAGGATACACTCAAATTCTCGATGACCCCTGATTTGGGTATTATTAGGTTTAGTTTTAGATTTATTTAGGAAACAGTTAATACTGTAATTAAAATTGTTTATTTAGTCTTTCCGTAACTAAAGTCATTTTGATTGCACTAATAAAAGAGTCTTCTTTTATTAGTGCGTTGTATTGTGTGTTTGTTCATTATTTTTCATCTAAGAAAGTTATGAAAGGAGACATTTGAACTCCTTATAACAATTGCCTAAAAATTGTCTGTTGATTGCAATATATTTATTGATCCAAACAAATTTTGAAGCAACAATAATATAAAGTTAGTCATGATCATAAATTTTCAGTTGATTCATTTGTAGCTATTGATCATAAAAGTAATGACATACACACAAAAAAAAAAAAAGGAAGAGAGAGGGATATAGTATAGAAGTATTATTATCGATACTATAATTAAATCCCAATCGTTAAATTTAGATCTCGTCTTATCTTTTGTTTCCCATGATTTTTGGGTCACTATTGCAAAGTTTATAGAGGAGCGATTGATAAAATTCAAACCCGCGATATAGTTCAAACGGCCTGCAAAGTCATTAGGACACAGCTGACTTCTTCCCCACATCAATGTTACTGTCGTTGCAAATTGCAATGCCCTGACTCACTGGTACCCTGAGCATTGGACCACAACCAGGACTGCCCATTTTGGTTGGTAATTTGTGCATCACAAGGTAGAATTATAAAAGCATGCGCATCAACCATGGAAGGATTATCAAAATAATATAAATAGTAGTAAATTATTGTCAAAATATTACATTACTTTTTGACATGCCAAAATACTAATTGAATTTTTTGAAGCAAATGTAAAATTAAAATTTTTGGTACAGTGTCTAATATTGCATAGAACCAAAACTATGTTTAAAAAGGAAAACTTTATCGAGAAAAATGTGGTTACAATTAGTTTGGAAAAGCGAGACCTACTCACACTATTTTTTGGTCATTTTGTGCGCTTTAAAAAATAATTAATAAAAAATATAACCCAGATTATAACTGACTTTAATTTAATCTATATCTATATCTATATACTACTAATAAAAATACCTTATATGAAAAATTTTTGATTAACTATTTTTTCCTTATAAAAAATTATAAAGACTAACTTGATCTTTTATATTTAAATATGCAGATTACCATTATATCTTTTTATATTTAAAAAACAAACTAATCTTTAACATATCATATAAATATCTATCTTTGAAAAACTTTTAAATTATCATGTTACTTTTAATAGCGTATATAAAAATATTATTCTTTTTTTTTTTTTCTAAAACCTCAATATTAATAAACATCGATAACTTCATTGATACAATATTATCTCCGATACTAAAAAATCGATATAGGTTTTTTTTTTCTCTGCAGTCATAATACAAACAATTTAAATATGAGATAATATCAAATTTAACTATATAATTAAATTTTTATGTACTTTATCAAATATTTTAACGAAAACTTTCACGTGTAACGCATATATTGCGTTGATAGTCTAAAAAATGTATAAAGATGAAAAATTATAACTAAAAATAATAAATTTGCAAATTATAAATATTAGTAGATAGACAATTAGTTAGATAATTGATTTTGATAATAATACAATAAAAATATCTTATTAGGTGATGGTACATGATTTCCATAAAATTAAAAGGCCCTAAAATTCAATTTTTTGAAAAAAAAAGGTTAAAAGTAAAACTAACAATACAAAAAATTTCAATTTGAGTGTATTGGGCCTATTAATTAATTCAACCCACAAAATTAAAAAGCTCTAAAATTCAATTTTTTTGAAAAAAAAAAAGTTAATAGTAAAACTAACAATACTAAAAATTTCAACTTTAGTGTATTAGACCTATTAATTCAGTCCATAAAATTAAAAAACTCTAAAATTCAATTTTTTGAAAAAAAAAAGTTAATAGTAAAACTAACACTACTAAAAATCAAGCCTTAAACAACCCCCCCCCCCAAAAAAAAAAAAAAAAAAAAATTCCATCATACACTCTCCCTCTCTCACCATCAAGTTCAAAAGATTGAATATAACAATCGTTTGAATATTAAAACTTAATATTTTTATATTTAAAAAAATAAAAAATATTTAAATAAAATTACTATTCATATTAAAAAAAAGTGTAATTTATTAATTCTGCTTTAGGCCCAAAAATATTTGGGGTCGCCCTGGTTTTGGGACCCCAAAAAAATGATCATCTATTTTTATAAAATTATAGGATTATCTATATTCCCTCTGTCTGGAAATATAAAAAAAAATGATAAAGAGAATAGAAAATCAATATATATAAATTCATCTGACGGTCTCAAATCAATTTATTCAGCGACAACCAAATTAATAACAAATGGTGCGTTTGGGTAACTACCAAGGATAAGAAAGGATATGATTTTTTATTTCCTAACCCATCCCACCCAAACCCAATAAACCACTTAATTGGATGAGTTGTATTGTTATCCAATTCAAACCATTGTTTGGGAAGGAACAATTCAATTTTATGGGCCCACGGAGGCCTAAGTGGGCTTCATCCTTTTGCCAACCACCTCTGACGAATCACTCCTTATACTACAATCAACAACGCCGGAGTAAGGTGGAGATCGCCGGAGGTTGGGTGTCCTCTTCGACAATAAAGCAAGAGAGAGGTGGGGGGGGGGATTGATGGCTAATCCCGTCTTCTTCGTCGTCTCTGTGCACCAGTCACAGTGATGTTGGATGAGAGTGACAGAAGAAAGAGGGGCAAATATGTCTGTAGGGGAGTAACCCATTGACTGGGTTTATAATCGATGGATGGGTGGGTTAATTATAACCGGTGTGGGGGAGTATGAACCACTAAAACAACTGGGTCGAGGCTTGACCCAAAATTGTTATCATACCTCCAAAAGTTCCAAAACAAAGAATAAATGTAATCCACTACCTTATTTACCTATTATTATGGGTATTAACCCTCTTTATCCCACTATCCAAATACACTCAAAGGGTTTGATAATAAGCCGCCTTCATCCTTAAAATGTCATCACCTGAAATATGGGAAGTTTTATTGATCATTTCCTTGATACAGACATATATTTGGCACCAAATTACTATTTTGGTAAGCCAAACTATGCATATTTATTACTGCTTCATTACATTACAAGCATGTATGAAGCATCTTATTCCTGTAAGTAACTCTGGAGACGACTCGAGCGGTCCCTTTAAATGCCTAAGCAAAAGGCCTCTGGTTGTAGCAATCCAGATTGTTGCCATAGCTTACTCCTTTACCACATTCAATTCCACCGTTGATGATATTGGTGATCACACCATAGCCAGGGACACGACCGGCCGCTGTATCAGCTGGCGATGGCCTCCATGTTCCGGTGATGACGTCGTGGCATGAAGGTTTTGGCGATTGGGGTGTCATCCAAAACCAAAACGCTGTCTTGAAAGAAACTACTGGATCGTTTGCAACGGTTTCGGGGCTGTTTAGCAGATTCATTCCGATGGCTCTTCCTGCTGGACCATAGTTGTAATTGCTGGCAAGTCATGGTAGACGTCCAAGTACAAAGTTAAGGTTTTGTGATCGATGCAATTCAGAAGAAGAGGACAAAACATGTTCTAATCTGTTGATTATCTAACCAAAAGTAAAAAAGACAAACACTTACTGTGTGATTTGGATGGGGCCTCGACCATAGTACTTCTTACCAGGAACGCATGGCCATTGTTGACTTGGAGTACAATAGTCTGGTGGTTGCCTCGTTCTTCTTTGAAGCAGTATCCCCATGCATATGGACCATCTGGTGCTGTAGGCCACCCACCTATGTTAATCCATCCAAAACTTATAAGTAATCATGTTATCATTATTCTTTTTTGTTTCACAGAAATAGCCTCCACATACACGGGTATGAATACATAAACCAGATCCTCTACAAACCCCAAAGTGACAAGAACGTTTTTTCTTTTTCTTTTTCTTTTGTATCATTTGCTGGTTAACTAATACTTCGTTTGGTAAGAAGTAGGAGATATACATTTTCAATCGTTTAAAAATAAAATGTAAGAATAATATATATATATTTTTTTTATGTTTGGTTGGATAGATGAAAAATAAAAATGACCAATTTTTTTATTTTATTTTTTTGTGTAATATTATGGGTGACAATCGAGTGATTTCGTGTCAGATTCGTGTTGGGTCATAATATTATAAGTTTTTTATATTTCTTATTCGCGTGTCAGATCATTTCAAGTTCGTGTCGAGTTATAATCAAGTTCGTGTCATAAAATTCGTGTCGAATTCGAGTCGTGTCATCGTGTTGAATCGAAATTTTTCACCCCTAAAAGATAAAAAAAAATATTTTTTTAATTTAAAATTTTTATTTTTTAATTTTTTTAAAAATATATATGTGTATATATATAAATACATATTTTATCATTGTATTTTTTATATGAAATTAATGTATACATAATATATAGACAAATAAAATACATCTAAATAAAAATAATTAATTTTTTATTCACTTTCCTTCCTATTTTTTAGGGATTAATTTTGGTGAGTTGGAAGAAAAAAGTTAATTCATCAATTTTTTCTTCATTCATATTTTTTTTCCTTACCAAACATGATATTTTATTTATTCCTCTAATTTTCTATTCTTCTATTTTTTCATCATACCAAACAGAACATTAGAGTTTAACTCCTGTTTATGTATCACTAATTATCTCCTCCCCTGGTGCATTGTGGTCATGCATGTCATTTTTCGAACATACAGGAGAGCCTCGGCATAGAGTAATACGGGACTGATCAAACACGATATCAAAAACCAAGACCGGATTAATTAAATTAGAATTTCAAGGAAAATAAAAGTCGAATCAGGAGCAACAAATCATTATGTCAGCAAATCTTAGGTCCATTAGCATTACTCCTATCTTTTTAACATGTGGGTCCGGACATGGTTGCCAACATTACTGTAAGAAACATTATACCTGTGGTTTCATGGGATGTTTGTGCCAAAAAGGCAGCAATTTCTCTCTTACGAATGTCTGTAGCACCAGTTGTTCCAAAAGATCCAAATGACTTGGCTGCAGCTACGAAAGCATCATAAGTGTAAAACCCTTTCCCAGGGCAAGCCGCATCATCTCGATGCTTCAACATTTGATCAAATTGAGTTTTACTGATAATCGACCCGACATCGCCTTGAGACAAGGCTGCGATGAAAGACAAGAAACAGAACAACACCACACCCCCAAAAACTCATTTTTTCTCGCTCCCTCTTTATTTTGGCTTAATTGGTGTCTCTTATGATGTGGGTTTTAGCGTAGAAGAGGTGGGGTATATACATGCATGTTTTTGATGGGTTGGGTTTTGGTTTGCATGGGGGAAGGAGGGGGTGGGGAGACTTTTCTGGTGATATGGACATTTTAACTATTGATTATCAATTTTTAATTTTTAACAATATGAAGCCATCACGACACGTACCAATCTTAATTTGGGGGTGGCGAACAGATGCCGTAAAGAAGACTCTAACTATTGAGTTAAGTAGGACAATGAAAGTTCATATTTGATTCATTTCTTTTCTTCTTCAATTGATCGTAGTTATACTATTCCTGACTCCCACTAGACTTTTTTTTATAATATTAATGCAGGGATATCTTAACCATTAATTAACAGTTTTTAAATGTTGCATTAACCTCGATCTCCAATTATGTCCTCAAAAAATAGTGTATTTTTGAATTATCACTACACGTATCCATCCTAATTTGCTTGAATCGGGGAAGATGGGAGGTATTAGGACTTTTATTACTTTAATTTGATTAATCTTACCATACAAAAAAACTTTGGGTCCAAACCTCAAGACACGAAAAATGGGTAAAATCCAATTCTTTGCAAGAAAACTTGATACAACCTTAATTACAATACTAAAATCTATCCTAAGCTAACACAAAAACTACTATTAGTGATGCCCAAGTCATGGGAACTGTTATTTCTTGAATTTCAAAAGTCATATTAACTGATCCTAATTCTTTCTTTAATTGCTGTTTATCCCGTATAACAACTAAATCATCCTTTCGCATCTATGGATGTTTTGAATTTTCTCACGAGCTCAATCAATAGTGATATTTGTAGGATATTTGTGGAGATGATTGCGGTAAAGAGAATGTAGCTTGGACCTGAAGAGAATGTAACTTTTGGATAAGTTAGGCAGGACGATAAGGGTTTTTGTCGCCTTACGTATTGATTAAGAAGCCTGTATTATTGTTTAAAAACAGTCAAGATCCCAGTTGGTGTCTAGAGGCTGCTTCTCAAGCTCTCCATCAAATCGTTCTTGTATTACCAGTTAAAAACACCCCGAGGACTATGGTAAAGAAAAGGGTTGATAAGTATTTTTGGTTCCGTAAAAATGTATTTTTTGTTAATTTAATTTTTATTATATTAATTTTATTAATTTGACCCTTTAAATATTCAAATTTGTGTCACTTTAGTCTTTAATCAGACAATCTATCAAGTTTTTTTACAAAAATGATCACGTGTTATTTTTTTAGACGGTATCATGTGTTCAACACGTGATCATTCAGTTAAAAATTTAATGGTTCGTCTCTACACAAGTGTAGAGTGACAATTTTTAACACAACGCGAAAACATGACTTGAAATTGACACAAAATTAACATGTTAAGGTTAGCTATTTTTCGATACAAACCCGTATATGACACGAGCCGTTAACACGAATAATAAATGAGTTAGATTAGTATCAAATACAATCAATATGTTTAAATAGTATTATAAGAATAAAATGTGAATTTTTGTTATATTTTATCAAGTAGAGATCTAATTTGTGTACCAAAAAAATATATATTTTTACTCATTTTTATTATTATATTTATTAAGTTAATTTTTAATTTAAAGAAAAAATATGAGCAAAAGCTTGATTAAGCGATAATAAAATTTTATACATAAAACTGAGGATTAAATTTTTTATTGACATCAGCTAACCCGAACATAACATGAAAATACATAAGTCAACACGATACTATTAATTAAATAAGTTGAATGAAAATTAATTAATACTCAACATAATCCTAAAATAACCCGATACCAACACGACCAGGCAAAACACGATTACGAACTACGGAAGTCTAGTCTAGCTAAAAGACTGATGGGTATGTGTGATTTTGTCAAATACCTAATCAACCCAACCTATTAGCTTTGACCATATCTTCTGGTTACCTTCCTACACGAAACTTCTTTTTTTGTTTTTATTTTTTAATATTAAGATTTAGGAGTATTGTGTCAATTTTCACACGTTTTAATTAATTTTTTCTCTAGTCCGATTAAGTGTAGGTAATCAATTTTAAAATTAGAGAATTTATAAAGAATAAATCTCTTACGATTTAACTTTAAAAGAATTAATAATTTATGAATTTAAGATTTTTTAGTTTATAGCGAATGCTTTTCTTCACAATTAACAACCAAATTAATGGTGTGCTGATGATGTTGTCCAATAATATTATTGAGACGGTAACTCTTAAAATTTTTCATTAGAATTCCATCGATGACTATCTCGCGCATAAAAAGAAGTGATAGAAATCTGTTTATTTATTTATTTTTTTAAAATTAAATAATAATATTATGTAACGATAATAATAAAATATCACTATTACATTCACCATTTACTTCCGCTGACAGATTTGATGGAAAGCTTAAGAGGCAGCCTCTGGAAGCCGACTTGGATCTTGACTGTTTTTTACTGGTAATACACGTCTTCTTATTCACCATGTGTAGGGCGTCTTGCCTAACTTGTCCATGGTACATTCTCTTCCAGTCCAAGGTACATCTTCTACGAAAATCATCTCCAAATGTCCTACTAATATCACTGTTGATTAAGCTCCTGAGAAAATTCAAAACATCCACAGATGGCTTGTGCTCAAGGGCAACGCTAGGATTTTATCTTTGAGGGAATCAAATATTAGACGAGAAAATTTGGTTTAAGATATTATTTTATTCTTAAATATATAGCATAAATCAACACATGAATATTTCATTTCTTCAAATTCAAAAATTCGTCAAAATTTGAGAGTCCCTAAGAGACCTATCAAAATTTCGATCAATCCCTTGCCGAAATTCAATCGATCTTGAGCAAAAAGATAAATGACTTCTTCGTAAGAGTAGTTCAATCGGAAAAAACAACCGAATTTTTAATGAACAAATTTTTGATGGAGTTAGACTTACAACCGTATAAAGGAAAAAAAGTCTTTGAAAGGAATAATTGTTTTGCTAAGTTGACTTTTCAATGAAAAATAATTAGGAAACTTTTCAATTGCCAATCATAAAAGGATTGGTAAGTGTTCGGTTGAATAGTTTGTTAGACTAAAGGGCTCACAAATAGTCATTGCATAAGTAAAGAAGATTTCTATTGGAGATTTACCCAAAAAAAAATTTCTATTAGGGGTTCATTTCTATACCAACAGACTTCTAAGAGAACTAAAATAATCCTACTCTAAGGGTTCTAAAAATTCTAGAGGGGAGCCATGGCCCCCTTAGACCATGGTGAAGCTCCGCCACGGCTCGTGCTAAAATATTTGGTAAATAAATTTTAAAAGCATGATTTTATCTTTCGATTATTTTGGGGGTGTACAAGAAAGAAACATGTCAAGAATAAATCAGCAACGAACTTGTCACCTGGTTGGCATTCAAGTAATGTGCAAAAGATAGGCCACTTGGTATGACGTTTGAAATTTGGAGAGTAATGTGGAAAACATAAGTCACTTGGTTTGGTAAGACGTTTGATAGTAATCAAAGAAAGAATTAGGATGAGTTAATATGATTTTTGAAATTGAAGAAAATAACAGTTCTCACGACATGGACACCATTAATACTAGTTTTCTAATTAATTTAGGATGGAATTTAGTATTGAAATTAAGACCGTTTCTTCAAAAAAAAAAATTGAAAAAGGAGACACTTTTAAGATTATAAATAAAAATATTATCTTTTGTTAATCTTTCTTAAATCATTCTCTTTTACTTAAATTAGGTCAATTGTTTTCATACAAAGAAATTCTAAAATAAAACAATTGAACCCCATTTAAACAATCACTTGAAATATTTCGTCTGTTGAAGGAGAAAAATCGGTCAATCACGAGAGATTTGGACCAACACAATTGTAATGTAAATGGTGTTTCAAAAAATCTAGGACGACAAGTTTCCCACAGATTAGCAACAACAATTCGTAATTTAATTTAAGATTTCCAAATTTTTTTGAGCTGCTCAAATGGTGAGACTTGAGATAAAATACACAGCACATTCTATTTCAGATCAAAGCTTTCGAAGCCTTTGAGTTGCCTCCAATGCTTTGATCAAAATTAAGCCTCTCTGGCCATCTTAAAAAGCTGCAATTGTCTATGATATTGAGTTCTTTTTTGGGTATCGTACTCATATTTATGAGTACTTTTAATATTATTGTGATGCCAAAAAAAAAATAGTGAAAATAATTTTCACAACAGTGGTAAAAATATACACAAAAATAGTAAATTACCTGTTAAAGTGATAATTTTTTTTTATAGAAGAAAGTAATATAAATAGTTACCACAACATTGATAAAATTGTTGGACTAAGGTAGGTTTTGGCAATTAAAATCTGATTTTTAGTTGACTTTCAGCCTAAATCAAAGTGGAACCTACTAGTTGTTTCTAGTAAATTTTTGCGAGTTCATGTTTTACTGCGTAAGAAGAATAACGTAGTATGTTCATTTGTTCAAATCGAGTAAGAAATGAATGAGAAAATAGACTCCAAAGTAACCAATTTGGATTGTGAAAATAAAAGTTGTGTATTGTGGGATTTGATACTATTCCCACATTTGTTGAGAAAGGAATTCTATTTGGGCATATATATATGTCAAGTTTTCTCTCCAAGTAGTACCACACTTTTATGAGCGGAGCAAGCGTATACATGTCATCAGTTCAACCACACAACCACTGTCCAGCTGAGCTCGAGTGTGGGTGTGGTTTAGACCAATCTTTATCTTATTATAGAAAATTCGTTTAGCGCATGAATTTCTTAATCCATAATTTAATTTCTAGTATCCGTTGAATTTAAATTCGCACTAGTTTGAATTTTTACTTCCCTCGGGTCTAAATTTTTGAGTTGTGTCTATCCATAAATTAACAGTTAATTAATTTTGTCTTCTGAGTTGCATGTATCTACTAGGTTGCATTTGTTGGCATGATAACTATCTAGATCAATGATCATCATTCTGCCTATAAA